ATTGTTATGGATATTAAATTAATTTAAAATTAAAACCACTTTTCAAAAAAAAAAAAAATGCATGAATCAAGCTGCATTAAATCATAATTTGAAAATAATAATTAGACACACACACACATATACCTATTTATATGTATTAACGACACACATGAATCAATGTGCATTTAACAAAACATACATGAATTCAAGGTGCATTAAAGATAGAGAGATTTTGAATTAAATGACCATAAAATGGGCATTTACGTCTTTGTATCTCAGTTGTGTATTTTTTTTCAAAATATTTTGTTCTATGTATTTTTTGTCAAATAAGTTTAATTAGGTATACCGACTTTCAAGGAACCCTCAATTTATTTAGGTGTGAGTTCATTATAGGAGGGTTTCATTGGAGTAGTTCGGGGGTGGCCTCGAGATTGATTATAATTTGTCTCTCAAAATGTGATTCTGATTTTATTTCTCTCGTAATTGTTAAATTTAATTCCAACACTTTTGAGATGTGGGCCTTTTAAATTCAAAATAGTACCGATTTTGAATAACCCTGTCATAAATATAAATAGTTCAAGTTACCATGCACTCGAATTAATAATTGAGAGACATAAATATTCAGAACTATAATTTCAAGAGTATAGCATTATGCCACAACTGCTAGGTGGCAATTAGTTTTCGGTCTGCAAATGCATTATAACGTCACTTTAGATTTTAAAAGTTAATTTAAAAAAAAATTCAGTATGCATTCTGAGGCATTTAACTACTAAGGGGAGGGGAAAACAAAAATCTTAAAATCTTTTAGGAGAAGGTGCCATGTGAAGGATTTTGCATAGATACAATATTAAGGCAAAGAAATGAAAAGCACAAACCAAAACATATTCCAACTTGTTGCATCATTGCAATTATGTGGCAAATTTTACAACATAAAACCTTGAAAAACATAACGTCTTATGCACTTGCATTGCTCTGCTCAGTATTATATTATTATTCAAAATTTAGAAATTTCTTCTCCTTTAAACTTTCTACGGTGTCCCTAAGGCTCACTTCAAGAGGAAGGAAATCGATGCCCAAACTTTTTGCCTTCTCCTTCGATACTTGGAATGGTGGGACAAGCAACTTTTCATTTTTACACCTGCCATAAAAAATAGTATTAAATTCAATTAAAATTTCTTTGCTAAAGCAATAATGTCGACATCAAAAGATAATATATACAATATATCTTTGATTACTACGATAAATATTTTTTGAAACGTTAATTGCAAATCAAAAGGAAAAGTACCACAAATCCATTTTTTTCTATACCGAAAGAAATAAATCAATCATGCATTTTAAGCATGACATTACATGGTACTTCTTGTCAATATTTTCAATAGAAATTCAATAAAAAAGGCTTAGAGTTAACCCCTTTCATGTAAACATATGTTGATTAGAGATAATAATTGTTCTCTAGTTAATTATGAGTCTAATTTACATTGTTGGGTGGCCTACTTTAGTTTTGAATAATGCGCATTTTCTGAACGTGTGGTCAACTTTAATTATTTCAATTATTAGCACAGTCATCTAGTATTAAGGACATTTGAAATACTAAATACTTACTTTTTTGGAATGTTGAGAGTAGGGTAAAGCTTGTGCAATATCTTCCGAGTTTCAGAAGAGTATGTCACTGTCTCAACTAAACAGTATCTGCCATTAGCTGAAGCAATCTCCAATGCTTGAACATGTGCATATGCAACATCTCTAACATCAACATATGAATAGATTCCAGTAGAGAGCATTTCTTGTCCTAAATCATATATAACTTAAATGCTTGTATCAAAAAAATTGCATGTATAGATGTACCTAAGAACGAAAAAGAGATTTGCATATGCAACAATGCAACAGTCATTGGAATTAAAAAAAAAAGTAGAAAAATAATATTTGGCCATTATCTCATGATTAAAAAAACGTGGAAACAAAAGGAAATTATTGTACTCCAAAATTTTTACTTCAGTTTTGTATGAGTTCTACAAAATATGTGTATGTTGCTTGAAAGCTACTAAACATAATTTATGGTTAAATTGTAAAATTGTTAGGGTTTAGAGAGAGGGCGAGAGAAAAAGAAAAGATTATCACAATAGGGTAGGGTGTGTTAGGTTACACAATTATATCCTCTTTATATATAAACACAAAATACTAAAATACCCTTATTCTAGAAATAACACAGAACGTAACAGTCCCTTTTGAGTTGGTGCATAGATATCTCTCATACTCAACTTGCAAACAATAGGGTGAAAACCTTGCTACTAAGCCCCTTTGTAAAAATATTGGCTAACTAATTCTGACTTCACAAAAGGCATGCAAATCATGCCTTGTTTAACTTCTCTTTAATGAAGTGCCGATTAATTTTAACATATTTGATTCGATCATGTTGAACTGAATTATGAATAATGTTGATAGCAGCCTGCCAATTCAGTTTATCATGATGCCAAGGAATATAATACAAATTCACAATCAGCAAGCGAAATAATCCTCGGGGGCCATTGTCCTCAAGAAATAGGCATGTCATTAGAACCAAAAAAAAAAAGGGGGAAAGAATGAGCAACTTCAAAGAAGATAACATCTCCTGCGTCTCACAAAATAATTGAAACTTACAATGAATATAATGAATTTAGACTTCTTCCAAACAAGAAAAAATTAAGATGGTTGACCTTTAAACTTCAAATGACAGAATGAATTGAGAGAAAAAACTTGCAGAAGGATTTTCTCCCCATCACAATTCTTTCTGGAACCAAATCCTATATCAATGACCAACTGTCAGAAGAAAAACAATTCCAAGAACCTCGTACTGGCGGCCATGAAAAGGAATGATTAGTTTCCTTCCAAACTAGATTAGATTCTATTCGTAACCTGATTAGTTAAGTAAAACATAAATTGCTCTCTAAGAGAACCCCATAGCCATATATCAATTAGGGCCTTCTTCCTAAATGTCATTGCCCATACAATGTTTCCAATCCTGTCAGAAATATAGAAAAGACTCACCATATCCGGTTCACAACAACTCTCAGTATTTTACCTAGACGGTTGCTAGTAACAATTGAGATGAAGAATCAAAACATTTCAAGTAGAAATATACTATCATATGCATCATCCTCATTTGCTATAGAAAAATTTACCATGATTTATGAAGTTCAGAATCCCCTCAGCAGAGCTATTGAGAGTTGGCTGCAAGAGAGGACCAGTCACATAGCCTGGATGTATCGTCACCAAGTCAATCCCATTCTGTTTTGCAAATTTCCATGCAGCTTCCTCGGCCAAGGTTTTTGATAGCATATACCATAGCTTATACATGAACCAAAGTTTAATTAGCAAAAAATGAAGGGTATTAAAGCAAGTTAACTTCTCTCTAGCTATATTTTTAAATGACATCACAGGTAACTACAAAATAAGCTTTAATGTTTTTGCTGTCCGAATTCTAACTTCTTCTGAAAGAAAACAGCTTTTGTGACCTTTTCCCATCTATATGCTAAAATAATTAACATTTCAAGATCTCTTTTAGGCCTTAAACTAAAAAAAACTATCTTAATGGACTTCGTATAACACTAGATGATGCAGTTAAATGTTTTTTTTTTCGGTAAGTAATGACTGCATGAACTGAAAGAAATTACACTTATGCCAAGTATACCCATTGATTTACAAGCAAATACAAACAACAGAAAACCATGCATACTCCACACCACCGTGCATAGGATGACAGGTCTGCTACTTATCTCTCGTGGCAATAAAGAACGAAATACAAGAGTAATAGTGAACTCAATGGATGTTGTTAATTCCTTAAATATTGAAGACATAAGCACATTTACGATCGAACCTTTGACTCCTGACAAAATACTGGATCTGAGAACCAAGTCTCATCAACTACAACATCAGGGTTTATAGGTTTTCCATTGTTTCTAACCGAAGCTATTGAAGATGTTACTACCACCCTTTTGATAGATGAAACTTTTGCACAGGATGTCAGAACATTAAGTGTTCCCTTCACAGCAGGCTCAATTAATTCTGCCTGAAATGTTGTAAAGGGTAAGCAAATGATAAGCAGACATTCTGTATACAATTTTTCATAAGAAGCGAATAAAAGCCAACAACATTATGTAAACGTAAGCACATAGCACTAAGGCATTGTATCAGAAAAAACCTTCCGTGCATACCAAGCTGTATTGAACCAATCTAGTGAAATTCAAGGCACTATAAAATAGATATGAGTGTAGACCTCTCACATTTCTATCATTCCTTTTAAGCTAAGAATAGCTATGAGTCATTGAACGAAGTCGATAAATCATAACTACAAAGAGTATAGCTCAACCACGTCAAATCTTCTTGCTCTCCCCCTAGAAGGGGAGGGGCAGGGGAGGAAGACCACCGAAGAGAATGATACAGTGCCCATTACTTCTAAAGAATAAAGCATATGAACTTCAGTTTTATTAGATTTAGTTTTCACTTCTTATACAAGGGAGCTAATTTCTAGCCAGATCAAGAAAGTAGAATCTCCGCTACTTTCAAATATATATTTGCATATAAAGTATAAATTCAAGAAAAAAGCTCTAGTCTTCATGTTTCTATTTTCATTAGCTTCCAAATTAACTTATTCCAAGGCAAAGTCTTGATACCCTTTCTAATTTATAGGCTTAGAGTTAAAGTTTATTCCTTGATCTTGTCATATGCTTATCCACTCTCCACTCTGTTATTCATTACATGTGTTGCCACCTAAAACAATCAGAACAATTTCAAGTGGTAACAAGACCACTTTGAAGACTCTAAATGTAGGCACTGCATTAGTATCAAACAGATGATGTCACAATGGTTGTGGTGTCGAGATGCATATTATTCAAATTCTTTTTTCTCAACAAACACTGTGATTTCTAACTTATTTCCAAATCGAACATTGTCAAAATATCAATGTGTGGTTTTAACCTACGCTTTTTGATCTAAAAGCGTATTTGCAGAACACGATTTCAATTGGAAATTTGAATAGTGTGTTTTGTCATACGCACTTTTACAATGAAAAGTGTGGGTTAAAACTACGCTTTTATATAAATTGTAAAAGACAATGAAATGACGCTTTCATATACACTATGACACATTGAAAATAAGTTAGAAATGGCAGTATCTGAATAAAGAAGTTTGAAAGTCACGGTAACAAAGGAATTGATTTGCCTCAAGTGTTATACAGATGTGGCTACCACTCCATGTACCTGAGGGTCAGTGGCTGAAAGGAAAACAGGAGATGCTGTGTGGAAGACACCTTCACAACCATCAACCACAGCATCAAATGATCTTTCTTCAGTTAAGTTTGCTTCAAACAAATGTAGCCTTTCCTTAGCTCCATCAAGTTCAAGGAGGTGTGTTGTCTTCTTTGCATCATCTGTAGGACATTTAAACAGAAATAATAACAATTCGAGCAAACGAACAAGTTAAATCAAAGTGCAAATTATGTATATTGTTGTATATACAAATGTCATTTTTTTCAGATATAGTTTCCCAAAAGTGGGCATAGGCACATAGTCAAAAAAGCTTGACCTCATACATAAATGGCTATGAACACGTTACAGATAAACTTTGGACACGTACTGATAAGTTTCAAACACATTGAAAATCATTTTACATATTTTTTCAAAAACATATAAGATCATTTTGTATTGTTTAAGGCTGGGGTTATTGTGCAATAAAATACAAAAATCATTCCATAAGTACACAGAAAAAGAGAATCCTAAAAATATGACAAAAATTTAGACTTAAAACAACTCCATAAATAAAAATCTTAATCTTAATTTGATATGCTATACAATGTTTAGTGCTTCATATTGTATAAGGGCTTTCTACAATTGCCATTGTTGTACGAATTTACATTTTTTTATGTTTGTGTTCTTAACTTTAACATTAAATTGTTTGTAATTGGTCTATATCTGGTGTTTATTTTTGTATGATTGGCATCTACATAAATAAATTCAAACCCGTCATCTTATTTTAATCCTTTGAAAAAAATTTAACACAAGCTTGTAACCCTTAATTAAAAATCGTCATTAATCCAACAAGAATAATAGATTTGGTTAGAAAAATTTGTCAAAAGATAATTGAGAAAAACAGAATTATTGTCCTCGCATTAACTATTAGTGTTCAGGCCTTAGTATTACCTAAGAGTGGTGCTACTTGAGAGTGAAATTTTTTAAATTGACGTCGCACGAACTTAATGAATTAAGAGTTGAATAAGTCTTAATACGAATTCGACACAACACAAATAATAAATGGTATGAATATGTTAGATACTAGCGACTCGATTGGTGAAATAGTATCTCTCCCCCAAAAAAGCATATAGTGATTTATCATTTAATGAATGACTGAAAAATGATCCACCAATATTAATCCAATTATAATGTGTGTTACCTTGTAGTTGTACATAAGAAAAGGTCAAAATTAGTTTCAACTATGAATAACCTCATTAAGACATGATAAAGCCATTTATTAACTACAATAAAACCAACCCCAACAAAACGAGAAAAATATTCATTACAACGGTTATACCATATCATCATATGTAACCATTCAATGATAGAATGATAGTATAATAAATGGACAAGTGGATCCCACATGAGTACTTATTGTATGGCATGCATACTAACGACCTTTAGTTCAATAGTATTCCTTATTTTATAAAGATCTTGTCTTCTCGAGGTTAAAACATTCATGAATAGTTATTTTACTTGCCCACTTGTTATACCAGTGTTATTAAAAATATACCAGA